GAATTCCCACGACCAACAAAAAACACTGGAAGGGTTTGGTGGGCATTGACCTTGAATTTTGGAGTTGTAGTTCAACTATTCAGAGCCCTTGGTGGGAAAGATCTATTGCTGCTGGTGATTAACCAGCTGTGCTAATGCCTGGCCCTAGTGTAGTACTATGTTCTGCCTAAGTGTCGTACTATGGGTTGACAGTTGCAGTGTTTGTACAACAAAGCATCCAGGTTGCAATCTTTCACATGAAGGCCTTTGCAGGTACAGTAGCTTTGGAGACATTCAATAAGCCCTTGACGCATTTTTCTTGCAGCTCCTGCTTATCATTGATGCATATAAGAAGCCTAGAGAGCTAAGGTGATGCCCGCTACCATTTCCAAGTACAGCCTGTCCTACTTTAAGAAAATGCTGCTCTTCCAATTGCATAGTATATTTATGACGCCCTGCAGCCTGGAACCAGCCTAGCACACATATAGATGTTTTCACCTTTGGATTGTGGTCACAAAAGTGGGGTTCTAATGTGTTTCAAGTCTATTGAATCACAGGAATAGTTGCCTGATTGAGTCATTCCTTAGCCTTACAGATAAGAGAATAATACCAGGTGCTTTTTATATATTGACGTAGTGATAAGGTAGACATAAGATAACAGTAATAGCCACAACACTCCATAACTAATGCAATATAATACTAATAATAATATATTATAATTATATATTTATATTACATGTAATGTTACTAGTGATATTACAATATAATGGTATAGTACAATATAGTAATATTTAATATCGATATTGTACTATGCTAATAATATATATTGTATGTATATATATAATTTATTTATCGTGTCATCAGCAACCAGGCATTTGTATTGCATTTTTAACAAAAACAAACAGACAGACAGACAAAACACAGATTTTGCAAGCTTGGTAGTTGATTAAATGTCCTTTGACCAGTATCTGGCCACTTGGAGTGCTTCTGGTGTTGCCGCAAGAAGGTCCTCCATTGTGCATGTGGCAGGGCTCAGGTTGCATTGCAGCAGGTGGTCTGTAGTTTGCTCTTCTCCACACTCGCATGTCGTGGATTCACTTTGTAGCCCCATTTCTTAAGGTTGGCTCTGCATCTCGTGGTGCCAGAGCGCAGTCTGTTCAGCGCCTTCCAAGTCGCCCAGTTTTCTGTGTGCCCAGGAGGGCTTCTCTCATTTGGTATCAGCCATTGATTGAGGTTCTGGGTTTGAGCCTGCCACTTTTGGACTCTCGCTTGCTGAGGTGTTCCAGCGAGTGCCTCTGTAGATCTTAGAAACTATTTCTTGATTTAAGTCATTGACGTGCTGGCTAATACCCAAACGGGATGAGCTGGAGATGTCTCTGCCTTGGTCCTTTCACTATTGGCTGCTACTTCCCGGCGGATGTCAGGTGGTGCAATACCGGCTAAGCAGTGTAATTTCTCCAGTGGTGTAGGGCGCAGACACCCTGTGATAATGCGGCATGTCTCATTAAGAGCCACATCCACTGTTTTAGTGTGGTGAGATGTGTTCCACACTGGGCATGCATACTCAGCAGCAGAGTAGCAAAACGCAAAGGCAGATGTCTTCACTGTGTCTGGTTGTGATCCCCAGGTTGTGCCAGTCAGCTTTTGTATGATATTGTATCTAGCACCCACTTTTTACTTGATATTCAGGCAGTGCTTCTTGTAGGTCTGACCTATATTGACGTAATGATAAGGTAGACATAAGAAACAGTCATAGCCACAACACTCCATAACTAAGTCCAACATGGTTTTCATTTTGAGAGTGGTATTAGCATTCCTTCTAAAATTAGCATTGCAAAGCGTTGTACATTCATATCATGACTAAATCGCATGTTCAATGCATGACTGCTTTTAAGGTATCTTCCAAATAAGACTGCTGCTGCTTATGAAACATGAGTGCAGACAAAAAAGGTTAAAGGAGAAGATCTCAACATAATACCCTCTTTGACAAAATGTTTGGGTTTTAGGGAGCATTTCAGATTTTGTATTTCTGGGCGAGGGAGGTTGAAACACTTGAACTTTTTCTCCTACTTCTTTACAACTGGAACATAAAATCCTCTTAGGCAGGAATGTGCCTTAGCTGGTATCTTCTTTGCACCCGAGAGCGGCCAGTATATCTTGCTAGGTCGGCGGGGTATTGGCTGATAAAACTGGGTGTGTCGGTTCCTTTGAATCATTAAGCAGAAGAAGCTGTTAGTCCTGAGATTGCACAAAAGACACTGCTGGGTTTTGACACAAGCATTTCAATCTGCATCACAGATCAGCCGCGTGTTGACAGAGCCACTCAAGTATGGGATTCAGGCAGTGGGTTGATGATGGAACCAAGCCCTCGTGTTGGGTTCAGGTTCACCTTGTTGTCTGCTTGTAGTGTGTCCTGACTGCCTGTTGCGTGTTCGTCGTAAGTCATGATACTTAAGCACACTTACATTCCACTTATATTTAGAATATTTTCCAGTATCCTGAATGTTGGAGCTGATGACAAAACTGGAAGGACACTGCAGTCTTGCGTAATAGATGGCTTTCAGCAATAATTGTAGGAGTCTCCTATAGTAAAGTGACTAGGATTTCCCATTTTGAGTCTTTGTATTCTTTGAGTTGGAACAGATTATTTTCTTCTTCCTCCTTCTCCACATCCCTTCCTTCCTGTCATGGCTGAAATCATGGAAGCTCAGACTGTCCTGATTATTATTGAAAAATATGGCACCTCAAGGAGGTTTCCAGTTTAAGAGGAGATTATCCTTTCAAGGAATAAAAATTGTTTCCGAGTCAGATTGTTCTTCATCCTTCTCTGCACAGGCGGAAATTAATCACCTATTCAAATTATGCTTTAGATTTGTTTTGGGTTTCATCCCTAGACTGCACAACTCTTTTGTGTCATCAAGTTTCCAGACCTCAATGAGTAGCTAGAGATTACATTTCATGGCTGGAATCACTGGGTTGTTGTAGGTTTTTTTCGGCTATATGGCCATGGTCTAGAAGCATTTCTCCTGACGTTTCACCTGCATCTATGGCAAGCATCCTCAGAGGTTGCGAGGTCTGTTGGAAACTAGAAAATGGGTTTATATATCTCTGGAATGACCAAGGTGGGACATTTTCCTAGTTCCAACAGACCTCACAACCTCTGAGGATGCCTGCCATAAAATTAGAACAGCACAACAACAGAGAGGAAACAATCTGGGACATCTAATCACCTCTCAACAAAAGATTGCTCCAGGCACTGCCAGGCAATCAAATGCTAATCAAGGTGGCCAGTTGAAACATTCACACCTAGTTCCAGCAGACAAGAGTCCTTTGTCCCACCCTGGTCATTCCACAGATATGTAAACCCTTTCCCCTAATTCCAACAGACCTCACTACCTCTGAGGATGCTTGCCATAGATGCAGGCGAAACGTCAGGAAAGAATGCTTCTAGAACATGACCATATAGCCCAAAAAATCTACAACAACCCAGCCATGTGATTCCAGCCATGAAAACCTTCGACAATACATTTCAAACATTTGATTGCACCAAGAAGCAAGCTCTCCAAAAGGAGGAAATCGAAAACTTCTGTTGACCTAGATTGTGTCTGTATTCACGGTTGGTGAGCTTTTGAACTCTCGGAGATATTTGCTCCCAGACTGGAGGTCACCTTGGAAAAGGTCCTTGCCTGTCTGGACTTGCCTGCTTGGCCAGCTGGCCTGCCTTAAGGACACAAACATGCCGAGACCATCTCCTGAAATATGTGGCTTTGTATTCTGCCAGAGGGAATGCACAGGAGTTGAAACCGGGAATCGAACTCTTCTTGGGTTGCTCCAAGCAAAGTCCAGTTCTCAGGATGCCCACAAACCAGGACGACACTGGTCTGGGGTTGTTTGTGGTCTCAATGTGCATTACTTCATGCAGACATGTGTTGGGGAACTCTCCATGGCAGGATGGTGTTATTATTATTATTATTAACTTTATTTATACCCCGCTAACATCTCCCGAAGGACTCGGTGCGGCTTACAAGAGGCCAAGGCCCAACACATCAATAAAACAACAGCATAACAAATACAACAATAAATAAACTCATAAAGCAAAGCAATAAACATTAAAACAATAACAATAAGCATTAGACAGTAACACCACGACGCATTTAAAAACTGAGGCCGGGCCAAATGTAATGAATAAAATTTAAAAAATGCTGGACATGACAGGTGAAATGGATAGGTTTTTGGAGATAGGTGCGGTGTGCAGACAATCTTAAATCTCTAGTAAAGTGCATTTGGGACATGATGCTAGGAGTTTCCTATTCTGGAAGGCACACTGGAACAGCCACGTCTTCAAGCTCTTCCTAAAGACTGCCAACGTTGGGGCTTGTCTGATGTCCTTGGGGAGAGAGTTCCAGAGTCGGGGGGCCACCACGGAGAAGGCCCTGTCCCTCGTCCCCACCAATCGCGCTTGCGACGCAGGTGGGATCGTGAGCAGGGCCTCTCCAGATGATCGGAGAGATCGTGTGGGTTCGTATACGGAGATGCGGTCACGCAGGTAGGCAGGTCCCAAACCATTTAGGGCTTTGTAGGTAAGCACCTGCACCTTGAATTGGGACCGGAAAATGAATGGCAGCCAATGGAGCTCCTTAAACAGTAGGGTTGACCTGTTTAAGTGTTTTGGTGGCAGCTACACTGAACTTGGTGTAATATCCATGCTGTATTGCCAAGTGCAGTAGAGTTAGATGAAAATGCTTTCATTTCCAGCATGAGAAGTCACAGGAAGCTTGTTGGGAAAGAGTTCTTTCAGGGGACAATAGAGGCAAAAGACCCACAAAGAAGAAGTGTGTGGACAGAAATGCTGTGCAAGGAACAAAGTCCTTTTTCTCTGAACTCTATGGGAGTATTGGAGGTGCCAAAACAGCTGATGCCACATTGCGAAGTGGCAGTATGTGTCACCAAGTGCTTTCTTCCATTGTTCTGGAGAACATTGCAAACGTCCCTCCTAACTGCTTCTCTTTCTCTCTTTGCAGCTGTAGCCGCCTCCGAGAAATTCAAAGCATTCTGACCCAGAGCAGCAAATCCCAACCAGATGGAATCCTGTGCATTTTGGGTAAATTCTTTCGGTTGTTAAGCTGTACATTTGTGGGTTTAGATCGAAACATACGCAGCAAGCTTAGTGCCTGGTGGTCCTGCAGAAGAAACTCCTTCTGCAATAAACGTATTCAAGGGCTACGCAGATATTTGTGGAAATGCAGCATGCCCGTTACTTGCTGCAACATGTTCGTGCATGGAAACTGAAATCCCTTGGTAATGTGTGAAATGAGTGGAATGAGAAGTTTAAAAGGACATCACGATATAAAGTCCCTGGTCTCGGTCCCACCCACCCCTTGCAAGCGTGACTGGTAGGGATGAGAGGTAGGCCTTCTCAGTGGTGGCCCCTTGGCTGTGGAACTTCCCAGCAACATTAGATCAGCCCCCTCCCTCCTGACCCTCAGAAGAAAAGTAAAGACTTGGCTGTGGGATCAGGCTTTTGGGAAATGGTGCTGTACAATAAGAGATTTGGAATATGTGCAAAAGCTGTGGAACAGCTTAGACTATTTTTTATTATTTATTTCATATACTTCTACCCCGCCCTTCTCAACCCCCGAGGGGGGACTCAGGGCGGCTTACAAAAAGGCACATCTTGGTGCCTACACAAATACAATAACATATAAAACCAGCAATTAAATGGTCAACAATTAAAACAACAATATATCTCACAATCAATAGCCAATCTCAGACACAGCGTTCGCCAACTCAGAGTCCATATTTCGTTCCACTTTGTCCAATTCCTATCCATCGTCACAGCCTTTTATTCATCTGCCAGATTGCCCAAACGCCTGGTCCCACATCCATGTTTTTAATTTCTTTCTGAAGGACTACTATTATGGATGGTATGATTTTAATTTGGAATGTAATGTTTTTAAAATATCTAATATGTATTAATTTTAACAAAATTTTAGCATTTTGGAACTGTATGTGTTTTGAGGCATTGAATAATTACCTCTGTTGTAAGCCACCTTGAGTCCCTTTTGGAGTAGAGAAAGACAGGGTATAAATAGGGTTTGTTGTTCATTCGTTCAGTCGTCTCCACCCCAGCTCCTTCAAGGATAAATAGGGTAAATAAATCTATATAAATAAAAATGTAATGTTCGTTTGTGGGATTAAGATAACTCAAAAACCGCTGGATAATTGACACCAAATTTGGACACAAACCCAACCAAGGCCAACGAGTGACCATCACTCATAAAAACACTGAAAATACAACAGAAGAGACTTAAAAAGCAAAAAAATACATTATGCATGTGCAAAACTTCATATAAACACAAACACACATATACACAAATGCATACATACACCTATACACACACATATATATACACACACAAAACACATATACATGGACTGGGCCACAACAACGCATGGCAGGGGACAGCTAGTAATAAATAAAACAGAAGAGGCTTAGAAGACCTATCAAAACAAACCATTTAAATCGGTCGCTCATGTAATAGAGGTCCTCCACCTCTCCTCATGGCTCAAGGCAAGTTACAACATTGTAAAACACATTCACCTAAAAACATTCTTTAAAATAAAAATATTAAAACATATTTCCACAAGATACATATTAAAATAAACCATGTCTTGATGTTCTGGCCAAAGCATACCATTGAGATGTGCAGGAGGATCTGGTGATGCCTAGAGAAGTGTTTTCTCTTGACCTTCAGCATGATTCAGTGGGATCTCTGGTGGAAATCGACCATATCAAATCATGCTGGAGTCTAGAAAGAACACTTAGAATAATAGAATCAAAGAGTTGGAAGAGACCTCATGGGCCATCCAGTCCAACCCCCTGCCAAGAAGCAGGAATATTGCATTCAAATCACCCCTGACAGATGGCCATCCAGCCTCTGTTTAAAAGCTTCCAAAGAAGGAGCCTCCACCACACTCCGGGGCAGAGAGTTCAACTGCTGAACGGCTCTCACAGTCAGGAAGTTCTTCCTCATGTTCAGATGGAATCTCCTCTCTTGTAGTTTGAAGCCATTGTTTTGCGTCCTAGTCTCCAAGGAAGCAGAAAACAAGCTTGCTCCCTCCTCCCTGTGGCTTCCTCTCACATATTTATACATGGCTATCATATCTCCTCTCAGCCTTCTCTTCTTCAGGCTAAACATGCCCAGCTCCTTAAGCCGCTCCTCATAGGGCTTGTACTCCAGACCCTTGATCATTTTAGTCGCCCTCCTCTGGACACATTCCAGCTTGTCAATATCTCTCTTGAATTGTGGTGCCCAGAATTGGACACAATATTCCAGGTGTGGTCTAACCAAAGCGGAATAGAGGGGTAGCATTACTTCCCTAGATCTAGACACTATGCTCCTAGACACTTCCATAGGCATCACTAGGTCTTCCTGTTCAAACCTATGGTGTTCAAAATTGTTTGTGTGTAACTGAAACCACATTCAATGAGCTTGCATAGTAAGTGGACTTCTTGTATCTTTTGTTGTCCTCAGCTGTTGCAGAGAGATCAAGCACTGAGAGGTGTCTGCTGAAGTCCGTTCTTAGTAGAGCAATAGTTCTCAACCTGTGGGTCCCCAGAAATCCCAGACAGTTTACCAGCTGTTAGGACTTCTGGGAATTGAAGGCCAAAACATCTAGGAACCCCCAGGTTGAGAACCACAGTAGTAGAGGAAAAGGTTCCTCCTTCCATGTTCTAGATCATTTAAGGCCTTCTCAAGAGCTTTCAGTAGTGAGCATAGAGTCATGTTACTGCTATAGTATAAGCTTTATTAGTGATCAGTGGTGCCACGGATGCAGTATAGTCCCTTTCACTGTTGGGTTTCAACATCCCTATACAGCCAAATGTAGAACGAGGCCCCCAACAAATTCTGGGCTGTCCCTTGGCCAGCAAAGTCCCATTGATAAAATATATGATGTGTACATTACAAAGATCCAACCAATCCATACTTCAAGAAATAAAGCCTGACTGCTTATTGGACGGAAGGATAGTAGAGGCCAAGATGAAGTCCTTTGGCCACATCATGAGAAGAAAGGAAAGCTTAGAGAAAAGTATGATGCTGGGGAAAATGGAAGGAAAAAAGAAGAGGGGTCAACCAAGGGCAAAATGGATGGATAATGTCCTTGAAGTGACTGGATTGGCCTTGAAAGAGCTGCGGGTGGTGACAACCGACAGGGAGCTCTAGCGTGGACTGCTCCATGAAGTCACGAAGCGTCGGAAATGACTGAATGAATGAACAACAACAACAACATTGCAAAGGCATGAGGCCAATGGAAAATGGAACCCCAAAAAGTAATGGAATGTAGAAGCAAAACAATACAATCAAAGATTTGCAAGTGTGACCCACCTCCCCCTTAAGAGCAATGAGAACTGTGAGAGTAGCTTAACAAGAGAGAAAATTTCACTCTCCCAGTCTGTCCCCTACTTTCATATTTTCTTCCAGGCTAAACTGCAAAGCACATGCAGAGGAGATTCCACCTGAACATGAGGAAGAACTTCCTGACTGTGAGAGCCATTCAGCAGTGGAACTCTCTGCCCCGGAGTGTGGTGGAGGCTCCTTCTTTGGAAGCTTTTAAGCAGAGGCTGGATGGCCATCTGTCAGGGGTGATTTGAATGCAATATTCCTGCTTCTTGGCAGAATGGGGTTGGACTGGATGGTCCAGGAGGTCTCTTCCAACTCTTTGATTCTATGATTCTATGATTCTATGAAATGCAAACAGGACCCAGCAAAGTCACTAATATCAGTTGATGCTTTCAAGTCTCAGGACAGCTGCTAAAGTTTGACGGTGATGCTAACAAGGTCTCCAAAAATGCGTCTTCCCAGTGGCAGAGGTCCAGTTCAGTTCAGTTCCCATGATCAGCATTTTGGAAAGTGCCCTCTGGTTGGGGCCACATCTTCCGGCTTGAACCATGCAGGTGCTGAGAGAGAGTTTTCCTGGCTGCAGAGAACCACAGAGTGGATATTACTCACTGGGTTGTCCTGTTGGATCCCTATTTGTCCCCCAGCTCAAAACACATAGTTCTCATTTCCTCTTTTCAGGTGTTAAAGACATGTACAGGCACTCCCTGAGTTACAAACATCTGACTTGCAGATGACTCATAGTTACAAACCAGGGTGAAACAACAGGAATTGAAAGAAACCTACCCATCAGAAAGGAAATTCACTCCTGGAAGACTTGATGTCTCCATGGAAGCCTTATCTCCAATCCTTGTTCCCACAACAAGACAATTTTTTCAGAATCCAAATATCAGAGGGGTAGAAAGTGCAGTAAAAGGGCACAGCCGGCAAAAGAAACCCCACAAGGGTGCTAACCCTTCCCTATACTATCCACAGCATGCTTGTGTGTGTGTGTTCGTTTGTATGTATGTATGTGTGTGTATGTGGCTGGAATTGCACTTTAAAACTGTACCTGTTCTGACTTACATACAAATTCAACTTAGGAACAAATCTCCAGAACCCATCTTGGTCGTAACTTCAGAAGTTCCTATATTTGGTTCATGACTTCAACAATGCCAGATGTTTCGATCTTCCTCCAAAATCTAGGTTGATGGGATGGTTTGGTGAAGTAACTGTGATATAGTCCTTCATGTGATGATAACAGGAGCCACTGTGGTGCAATGGGTTAATTATTTATTTATTTATTTACAGCTTTTATATTCCGCCCTTCTCACCCCGCAGGGGACTCAGGGCGGATTACAGTGTACACAAATATGGCAAACATTCAATGCCAATTTTGACGTACAACATATACAAGACATACACAGAGGCTCCATGCAGTTATGCCGGCCACATGACCTTGGAGGTGTCTACGGACAACGCTGGCTCTTCGGCTTAGAAATGGAGATGAGCACCACACCCCAGAGTCAGACATGACTGGACTTAATGTCAGGGGACTACCTACCTACCTACACAGAGGCTATTTAACTTTTTCTGGCTGCCAGGGGAGCTGTCGCTTTCATCGTCCATCTGCGACACTGATGAAGTACCTTCCACATTCCTCGCATGCTTCCCCGTTGGAGTTCTTCTTTATGGCCTCATAAATTAGTTAATTTTAGCCTCC